AAGGTAAGGTGCTAGCAGGCACATCACGTGGCCAGAGCAGGAGGTGGATTGGGGAGGTGCTACAGATTTTTAAATGACCAAATCTTGTGAGAATTCACTCACTGTGGTGAGGACAGCACCAAGTCTTGAAAGATCTGCCCTCCCTCCAATATTGGAAATTACATTTCAACATGAGATTTGGGCAGGGACAAATACCCAAACTATATCACTAGTGAAAAACATGTCACCATCATAAACCCTGTGATATGATCCACGAAGAGAGATACAACACGGTTTTTCTGATATTCTTCAGAAAAACTCTGTTACATCATGAGAAAACATCAAACCAAAAATGAGAGTCATTCAACAAAATAAGTCATCAGTATCCTTCAAAAGTGTCGAGGTGGTGGGGCGTGGTGGCTCACTCCTGTAATCCCAGCACTTTGGAAGACCGAGGCAGGTGGATCATGAGGTCAGGAGTTTGAGACCAGCCTGGCCAACATGGTGAAACCCTGTCTCTACTAAAACTACAAAAAAATTGGGTGTGGTAGTGTACTCCTGTAATCCCAGCTACTCAGGAGGCTGAGGCAGGAGAATCGCGTGAACCCAGGAGGCAGAGGTTGCAGTGAGCTGAGATTGCATCATTGCACTCCAGCCTAGGCAGCAGTGTGAGACTCCATCTCAAAAAAATAAAAGTGTCAAGGTAATAGAAGACAAAGACTAAGGATCTCTTACAGACTCCAGAAGACTAAAGAGAAATAACCAAATACAGTATGAGGTCCTGGATAGAATCCAGACACAAGAAAAGACATAGTGGGAAAACTGTACAATTTGAGTAATGTCTGTAGGTAATAGTATTGCCAATGTTAATTTCCTGGTTTTGATAATTTTTCTATTGTTATATAAGATGTTAATAATAAGGGAAGCTGGATGAGAGTTAAATAGAAACTCTGTGTACTACTTTTGCAACATTTCTGTAAGTCTAAAGTTAGTTGAAAGTAAAAAGTTAAAAAATAATAAAAGTCCTACTGCCAAAAAAAAAATATATATATGGTAGGGCTCCAAGCTGGAAAGTTACTGAGGCAGAACTCTAGTATGGGGTCTATTTTTAGCTTCTAGTCCCAGCATGAGGATTAGAGTCAGAATTGAGGGACTAAGAGCAAAGGAAGAGAGAGTTGTTATTTATGGTGAGTCATCAAGTCCCAAAACTATTAAAAATCAAACTTTAGAGTTGGAAGGGTTGTGCTGATTAGGAAATCAGTCGGGTGGTAGTGAGGAAGAAGACATTCACAAGAAGGAGTGATGAAAAAGAGACATGGAGTAAATGTGTGACAGCTGACCTGGGGAGGGGCAGTTGCAATATTAGTTTAAATGATACAAATGTCAGTCCGTATGGAAATTAGGATTTTATGTCCAAACAAACTTTGGATATTCTCAGCTGCCTTCTCTTTATGTGAGATTAGCTTAATTCTGTCACCAATCCTTCATTTAAAGTAGAAAATGGTCTATGGAGAGTGCAGGCCTGTGACTTAATGCAACTGTGACATTTTTGCTGCCACTCATTTCCTTTGATGAAGTTTATAACTAGTTTTATCATTTTTATACACAGCATTAAATCAAGAGATTTTATACACAAAGCTGTTATTGACCTCCCGTCTTTTCTTTCTGTATATAGCCCACAGGCCTGCACTTTTCTTTCTTCCCTCACAAGAGTCACCTAAAACTTACTAGCTGTCTTCCTCCAAAGAAACAATGCAGCTCTTCTCATATCAGATATGCTGTGGATGAAATTGTTTTAATAAAAGTTTAGGAATTTAATGGAAGGAAAGCTTGAAAAAAAATGTAAGAAAGACATAGCTAAAAGAATGAAATTTAAACAAGTTATTTTGAGAGATTCATCAAGGAGAAAGGTTTCATAAAACATTATTATGGGTTTACTAATCTGAACCATTCCCCAGGAGTTGTAATAATAGTTACTGTGTATGGCTGAGCATGATGACTTTGTCAAAGGTGCAGGGAATGATCTAGTATCTGTTACTGAGCACTGGTACTAATAAGAAACTGAAGGAGAAAAGGCATTTTCAGGCTTGTTTTCTATTTTTATACATAGGGAAAGTTATAGATAATATTAATAGAAAATTTGGAGGAAGTAACAGATGTTTTTGACAGATTATATGTATATATATCTACTATATAGCTACTTTAAAATGTCTAGCAAATAATCTATTTTGAGACACAGTGCAAATCTAATGAAGATGTTGCCTGTATTCTGCCTGAGAACGTGCAGTATTTGGTTTTCTGTTCTTGCATTAGTTTGCTAAAGATAATGAATTCTGTACCAAAATTCTTGAACTCTGTTAATTATAATAGGTTGCTTTTCTCTATATAGATAACTATACATTTTAATAATAAAAACTATCCCTTCCATTTAAGTCTCTGCTCTTCTTATTTCTTTTCTTTTTCTTTATACTGTCACCCAGAATCTCTCATATTATGTTGGAGAGTAGTGGTGAAAGTGGGTGTCTTTGGCTTCTTTCCAGTCTTTCTTTTTTCCTTATTATTTTTTTTTAACTTTTATTTTAAGGTCAGAGGCACATGTGCAGGTTTGTTATATAGGTAAACTCATGTCACAGGGGTTTGTTACACAGAGTATTTCATCATCCAGGTATTAAGCCTAGTACTCATTAGTTACTTTTCCTGATCCTCTCCCTCCTCCCACCTTCCTCCCTCCAGTAGGCCTCAGTTTGTGTTGTTCCTCTCTGTGTCCATGTGTTCTCATTTTATGCTCCCACTTGTAAGTGAGAACGTGCAGTATTTGGTTTTCTGTTCTTGCATTAGTTTGCTAAAGATAATGGCCTCCAGCTGTATCCATGTTCCTGCAGAAGACATGATCTCATTCTTTTTTATAGCTGCATAGTATTCTGTGGTGTATATGTACCACATTTTTTTAATCCAGTCTGCCGTTGATGGGCGTTGAGGTTGATTCCATGTCTTTGCTATTGAGAATAGCGCTGCAATGAACATACATGTGCATGTGTCTTTATGATAGAATGATTTGTATTTCTTTGAGTGTTTACCCAGTAATGGGACTGCTGAGTTGAATGGTAGTTCTGTTTTTAGGTCTTTGAGGAATCACTCTACTTTTCAATAGTGATTGAACTAATTTACACTCCCACCAACAGTATATAAGCATTCCTTTTGATCCACAACCTTGCCAGCACAGAAGGTGCAACTTAAGCATTGTCTTTTGTTGATGAAACCTTCAGCCAAGAGCACAGATGGTTTTTTTAAATGAAATCAGGAAAAGATTCCTGTTTCTAAATATCACAATTTTTATCTTTAAAATGATATCTTCTTATTTTAGGATGTTACAGTTGATTTTTCTCAGTTGTGCTTAGCCTCAACATGTGGAATCAATTAAAGTGAAATATGATGAAAGGTTATATTGATTTAGAGGTTTGCTATTTGCTTTTTATCGAATGGAGATTTGTACCCATGTAGACATAACCACTGGCATTCACTGTTCTTTGAAAGGACAGATCAATTGCTGACAAGTTTTCTGTTTAGGTTCCTTACATTGTGTTTAAGATAGGTAAAATAACCACCAATCTATCTAAAGAAAAGAGTGGAGGATTTTCAAAATACAACCTCTGATTTCCAGTTTCCATATTGTGTTCAGACTTCATTGCTTCATTCACAAGCAATTCCTATCTTCAGCTTTATGTATTTAGTAACATTTCCTGTGTTGTTTCGGGATTATTTTATGTTTAATGAGAAGGATTTCAGGTGTTTAAAATATATTGACATTTCTAACATGTTAAAAGAGCTAGGATGACCATATTATTCTTTTCAAAAAAGAACTCTTTAGTAGATGACTGAGAGACACCTGATGAATTAGAGATGATGCTCTCTGAGAGACACCTGAAGAGCTGGAATTCCAGTAGTATGTCTACGGATGCCCCAGGACAGATTTCAGTTGCCAGTATATAGGCACAAAGCTAGTAGCTGAAAAAAACAGTATACAGATCCTTAAGAATGGTGGTGGTGGTGATGATGGTAGTGAGGAGGATGAAGATGGTAATGATAATGGTGACATCAGCTGACATTGCTATGATTTACTAGATGCCGAGCACCATGCTGAGTGCTTTCTCTACATTCAAGCTGAATCTCCCCTTTCCAGTTTTGTATTTTATACACAATACAATCTCTTTTCTGGGTAGTAATGAGCCAGAAAAGTGGTCTAGATTAAAATCACCCTTTGTACTTGCCCTGGAAGCAAAGACAACAGCCGGAAGACATGGGGTGACTGCTGTGCAGATTCTAACAAACAAAAAACAGAGTCTAAAACTCCAGATCCTAGACAGTCAGCCCAGACCCTGGATGATATTAAGGCTTATAAATTTTCTATGTTCTTTGAATTTAAGACCTACATCTAACAAAAATCTCACCCCTTCTTCCTTTTATCTAATTCTGATACTCTTTTTCTGTCTCTGCCAGGGTCCTTAGAAAACATTTAATCCTAAAATTAAAATCTGAATTATTTCATTTTTATAAGGCTTAGTTTATAACACACCTGTAATCCAAAAATTGACAGAAGTATATGTGTTTGTTGAGACTAACATAATTTTTCTTGGATTATTTTACTCCTAATGCTTTGTTTACAGATTAGTGTCTTTCCTATACTGCTCCATGCTGAATAAATGTCAGTGATAGTGTTTTCAGGCTTGCTTCCTATTTATAATCCAGAGGAAAGCTCAATTTTTATTTATAAATTTTATTCTGGGTTATATCATACATATACAATAGAAGTAATTTATCAAATTTCTGATCTTACATAAACCAGACATTTTCTGAGTTAGCAGCTTTTATGTTTACTTGAAAAAGTTGAAGAATGAAGAGACAAAGTATTATGTAATACTGAAACATTAAGTGATTTCTAGTAAATCACTCAATAGCTGATAATCATAGCTATTGCTCTTACTACTGATAAGCCTGTTTGCTTTCTCGTCTTTCTTTTGTAGGTGGTTGCCTATCACTATTGTCAAGCAGATAATGCCTATACCTGCTTGGTGCCAGAATTTGTCCACAATGTTGCTGCCTTGCTCTGCCGCTCACCTCAGCTGACAGCCTATCGGGAGCAGCTTCTTCGGGAACCTCACCTGCAGAGCATGCTGAGTCTTCGGTCCTGTGTTCAAGACCCCATGGCCTCCTTCCGGAGGGGAGTCCTGGAGCCACTGGAGAATCTCCATAAAGGTACAGATAAGGTCCAAAGAGGTGAAAGATGGAGGTTTGGAGTCCAAGGTCACCTGGGTCATGCTATAAAAATGATTAATTTTATCACATTGCCAAAACTAAATGTTCCATAGCTGAATATCCTGAAGGGTACAGCTAACAGACAAAAGATTTTACTTGAAAAAAAAAAGAAATTCCAGCAGTATCTACTGCTTCTTTTCTTTATAAATGTTCTCAGTCTTATTTACAAATAGAATGCCTTTTCCTTGTCCTGAAAACAGTAGAGCTTTCAGTCCTTTCTGTGAAGTTTAAATAAGTCAGTATATTTGTGGTTCCAGCTCAGTGTTGTGAAGTTTCTGTGGTCAGAAATCATTCCTGTACTATGTAATATTAATAAAAAACATAATATTTGTATTACCCCATCAGTTCAAGTGAAGTGGAATGGCATCCCTGGTTGCACAGCTCTGTGTATATACTAAAAATCACTTAATCGTACACCTTAAAAGCTACTTAAGGGGCAGAGGGTATTTTATGGTACATAAATTGTATCATAGGAGAGCTGTTATTTTTTTTTAAGTGAAAAAAATTAAATAGAATCCATCTCCCACTCATACTCATGCCTGTCCTCCCTTTTTCCTCAGCAATTCTAGTGTTAGCAGTGGCCTGAGTGCAACCATTTCCTTGAAAATGGTGTGTGCCTTCCTAAGTCTTTCTGCCCCATACCCTTAACAATATTTTGTTAGTGCCAGAAGCCAAAGAAAAGGATGTGAGTATGCATAAAATTCCTGAGCAATCCTGTTTATTCCTAAGAGACTTATACACCTTTCCCAAGGGCTTTGGAGGTACTAATAAGGAAAGATGGTTATCATTTTTCCTGGCCATTGTCTTTAGTTGTTTCAGCTTCCATGCTGGTTACTTGAATATCAGAATTTCTCTTTCTCCTCAACTCTAATGACCTCTGTCACTACCTTTGTTACCTATTACCTTTTTAAACCTTGTCATTTCTCTACAAGTATATTTAAGCCTATTTACTGGACATGCAGTCAGTCTCTAAAACCTGTTAATTCTGCCTTCGTGATGTTTCTCACACCCACTTGTCTCCAACTGTTTCTAGCATCATTACCACAAGGACTGTTTGGCTGCCCGTAACATCATATTTATAGTTACCCCATCACAGTCTTTCCTGGTTCACTAGTTTAGTGCTTTTTCCACATCATGACACACTTATAAAACAATAAAACTTTGTATAGCATACTGGGATAAAAATTTATAACTCCTCATTGCTGGACATGACTGGCCCTGAGGAGACAGCTCTGCCAAGCCTCAGATGTCCTGAGGGCTGAATTTTAAACCATTCATGGAGTAGTTGGTGGGGAAGTTCTTCCCCAGTCTCTCCGGCGTTCTAGACTTTATGTATTTCTTCCAGAAAAAGTTTTATAAAGCATTTCCCTGATCACATAATTCCCCAATTGATAATCCACTGATTGCCTATTGCCTTCTGAATTAACTTTCAGTTCCTTGTTCTGACATTCAAGATGCTTGATGGGGCCAGCATCCACCCTACTTTTCAGCTTTATTCACTGTTATCCTTTGGAATCCTATGTTTACATGTAAGCTGAAATATTCACTTGTCCTCAAATACGCCCCTGGATTTTCCCACCTCCATGTATTTACTCATTATTTCTTTTCTTGATACACCTTCTTCTCACATGTTTGCCTGTCAGAATTCCAGCCATCTGTCAAGGAATGACTTAAATGCTACCTCATTTGTGAAATACCTTCTGATTTACTTGCCCCGCTTCAATCCTAAATGATGTCCTTCCAAATGACATTAGATCTTTTTAAAAATATATATATGTTTGTGGTACATAACACATAATGTATAACAAGAATTTAAATTTTTATCATTAACATTTATTAAATATTTACCATATGCCAGATATACTTTGCAGTTTGTAGGAATTACTTTTGTACTTATCCCTTTAAGTAAATTGTATGTTACTGAAATAGGAACTTTTAAAATTCAAGTTTTATCCTTCATAGTGGTTACCTCACCTTGAACACTGCAGGCATTTTAGGAACTACGTTTTGAACAGATAAGTGAATGTAGAAACTGCTCACACGTAGGAGTACCTTGAAGAAAGCATGGTAATACAAGGATCTACACCTTACAGCTGATTCAAGAAGACTATCCAAATGCTTGAGAGTCAGCTTTAGAGTCCCAGTCGTAATTCATATGTTTTATAATTTTGTTACAAGATATATCTGCTTCTCATTTAAGTCTCCATAACCAGCTTTAGCAGTCTCTGTTGACAAATACTGCTCTAAGTGAATTTAATTACTTCATTTTATTTCCATGTTTTTAACTCAGCCTTAAATCACCATTATGAGCAATAGCTGGAAACACAATTTTCCAGCTGGAAATACTAAGACTTATTTGAGTGACCCAAAAAAAGTCAGAAAATAAAGAATTTTTTCTAGAGATAGAACAAGCAAAATGGTAGATTTATAAGCAGTAATATCAATAATTATATTACATGTAAATGGACTAAACTCTTATATTAAAAGGCAAAAACTGTCAGACTGGATAAAAAGCAAGACTCAACCATATGCAGTTTTTTAAATATAAAGACACAGATTGAAAGTAAAAAGGACAGAAAAATATACTGTGTAAACATGGAGCATAAGAAAGCTGGAGTGACTATAGTAATCTCAGACAGAGTAGACTTCAAGACAAGTATTTCTGAAGAGTCATTTGATAAACATAAAAGGGCCAATTCATTAGGAACATGTATTAGATGTATGCATTTAATAACAGGTTCAAAATACATGAATCAAAAATAGACCAAATTAAAGAGATAAATAGCTGTAGTCCCAGCTACTCTGGTGGGTGAGACAGAACAATGTAATTAATGACTAGTTATTTAATGTTTAGCATATTTTTACCCCAATACACTATAAAAGCCACATAACCATTGAAGACATAGCAGCTAGTATGGTAACTGGAACATAAAAGGAATTTAGGCTAGGCTTGTGCCTGTAATCCCAATGCTTTGGGAGACCAAGGCAGGAGGATCACTTGAGCCTGGAATTCAAGACCAGCCTGGGCAACACAACAAGTACCAATCTCTACAACAACAATGCCAGGAATGGTTGCGCACAGCTGTAGTCTCAACTACTCAGGAGGCTGAAGTGGGAGGATCACTTGAGCCCAGGAGGTCAAGGCTGCAGTGAACCAAGATTATACCACTGCACTCCAGCTTGGGTAACAGAGTGAGACCTTGTCTCAAAAAAAAAAAGAAGAAGAAAGTTAATTAGTGTAATTCATCATATTAACAGAATAAAGGAAAACATCCACCTAATCATTTCTATAAATGTAAAAAAGCATTTGACAAACTACTACATCAGAGGTCCCCAACCCCTAGGCCGTGGATTGATACAGATCTGTGGCCTGTTAGGAAGCAGGAGGTGAGTGACAGGTACCACCTGAGCTCCACATTCTGTCAGATCAGCTGCAGCATTAGATTCTCATAGGAACACCAACCCTATTGTGAACTGTGCATTCAAGGGATCTAGGTTGCACACTTCTTCATCTAATGCCTGATAATCTCAGGTGGAGCAGTTTCATCCCTAAACCATCCTCTCCACTCCCTGCCCCAGAATAATTCTCTTGATGAAACCAGTCCCTCTGAACTACACCAATTAGCAATAAAAACTACACAAACTATAAATAGAAGGAAGTTGAGTCTGATACCAGGCATCTCCAAAAATACATATAGTGAAATGTTAAATGTTTTTCCCCCTATGGTCAAGAGCAAGACAAGAATGTTCCTCACTCTCACCACTTATATTCATCATTCCACTGGTGGTCCAGGCTAGAACAGTAAGAAAATAAACAAGCATTCAAATAGTATAAAGATTGGAAAGGAAGAAGTAAAATTGTCTTTATTTGCAGACAACATAATTGTTTACCTTAGAAAACTCTAAGAAATCCACCCAGAAAAAACAAAGCTGACTAAAACTAGTAAGTGCTCACCTTTAGGCTATAAAGTCAACATACAGATATTTCTATACTAACAACAAAATACTGAAAATGAAATTTTAAAAGTACATGGCAGTTTTAAAACACAGTTACAAATTATTTGACATTACTGTTACTAATAGTTCGACCTGGGTCCCCTCCCTTTGTAGCTGGGCAGGTTTGCAACTGCTTCAACTAATAGAATACTACCAAGTGATGCTATGTGACAGCTTAACGAGGTCATAAATAGCATGCAGTTTCCATCTTGTTCACCAAAACACTTGGTTCAGGAGGTATGTATTGCCATGTTGAAGCCGTACTACCTGAGTTCACCATGCTGCAAAGCACAAACCACAGGGAGAATCTAGTCACTGTCCCGGTGTTCATTCCTGCTCTGCCACAAAGCATATGAGTGAATAAGCCTCCAAATGATTCCAGCTTTCAAGCCCCAGAACATTCAAGTAACCCCTTGCTATTCGATATAGCAACAAATAAGTAGAACAAGTACCATTTTCAGTAGCACCAAAAAAAAAATCATACTTAAATGTACAAAAGATGTGTAAGTCATAGTGAAAGCACAGTGAAAATACTGCAGAGTGAAATTAAAGACCCTAGTAAGTGGAAGAGATATGCCATATATGTGGATTGGAAGATGTCAGTTTTTCCTTAAACTACTCTATAGATTGAACATAATCCCAGCAGAATTTTTCTGTAAAAATTGATAACTTTTAGAAATGGAAAGGACCAAAAATAGCCAAAACATTCTTGAAGAAGAAAGTTGAAAGATAGTATCTCGTTTCAAGATGTACAGAATTACAGATTACTGTAATAGTCATGACAGTGATATGCTAGTAAATGTTTAACAACCAAGCTCAGGGATGGGGGGTGCTAATTTGATGCTTAAAAATTTAGCCATCAGCTCTCTTCATCCAGCTTGAGTCATCCAAAATTCCACAGACAGGATTGTATTCATGCAAGGATAGAAAATAGATCAATGGAA